TTGGGGTCCTATATGCCTCAGTTATCTGAATGTCAAATTCTTCCCCTCTGTTTGAGAAGTTTTCTGTCATTAATTCTGCAAACAGCTTTTTTAAGTCATTTGTATTTTCTCCTGCTACTTCATGTATTCCTACCAGTCTTATGTTTTTCTTCTTTGCATCATCTAGGAGTTGTTGGATCCATTTCTCATGATCTCTTACTGTTTTTAAGAGACCTCTCTTTTCCTGGTTACTCACTGCAATCTTATCTTCTATATCTGAGAGTCTATCTTCGCATTCTTTTATTCTGTTGCATACACTTTCAATGGAGTGTTTAATCTCCTGGATATCTGTTTGAATCTGTTTTATGGATTCCATTTCTTTCCTATGTTGGGCATTTATTTTTTCCATTTCTTCCTTATGCTGGGCCTTCATGGCTTCTATCATGGTCCTGAGCTCATCTATTTTTCTGTCAGTTTCTGCTCTAGAGTCTCGAATCATGACTTCCATTTTGCTCCCTATCTCTATGGTTATCTGGGAAATTATTTCTGTTTTGAATTTTTCTAGAGCCTGATTGATCTGTTTTGTTACTTCCTGTGCTTTGAGTTCAGGGTGTCCTGGTGGTTCACTATCGGCCTTTTCATCCTCATTTGCCCTACTGTTTGCCATTGGTGAACTGGAAGTCTGTCCTTGTGTCTTGCTTAAGTGTTTTCTCATTTTAATTTTTGTTGTTGGACTGTCCTTGGTTTAATCTCTGGATTATCAGCCAAATCTTCCTGATATAGTTGCACCCTAGCTTCTGTGTCTCTAACGACCCACAGACATTCTCATCTTCATAACATCAGAGAAAACAACTCATCAAATCAACGGCAATGCTTTACCCCAACTGATACAATCAGCAACACATTAAGATCAAGCACAACTTGGACACTGACCACCTGTGGTAGTCACTAGTCTATCACCCTTAAATCATTTGAATTAAATTGAAATCAAGAAGCAGTCCAGAACATGTCTGCAGTGAACAAACTTTTCAATATAGTATATTAACCATTTAATGGCTCAGACAGATCGAGGATGGAAGACCCCTGATCTCAGTTAGCCGATGGCTGAACCCCATGATGCTGACTGACCTCGGGCCACAAAGCCCAGATTGAGTTCCCCATCCTTCTGAATGGTTGAACTCCACAATGTTCTTTTACAGGTTTCCCCACCCTTTCTTTAAAGATGTTCAAAGTTGGGAACTCAGAAAAATACCCTTGATGACCACCTCTGTCTTTGCAGAGTGGGTCCAAAGACTTGCACAGTCAGGAGGTCTGAAGGGGGGAGCTTATGGGAGTTCATGGGTGCCCGCGCGGCTACCTTCCCAGCACTTGAGTGATGGCTGCTGGGTCAGGAGCAGGTGTAGTTCCGTCTTGTAAATAATTTTTTAATGTGAAAATTCTTTTGTAATATAATTTCTCAGGGACGTTTTATTCTACCTCTTAGGTCATTGCTAGAATCGTGGATGGAAGTAGATTCAATGAGTTCAAAGCCTTTTATGGAGATACATTAGTCACAGGTATGAAAGTGAAAAATTAAAAATATGAACTTTTTTCTGCTGCTTTGCAAATAAGTGATCTTTTGTCTCAAGGCTTTGATACACTTGGCACGAGCTTTGTTATTCAGAGCATTACAAATATATGAGTCAGTTTTCTAAAGGAGCTGTTTTGTAAAAACTTTACAGCCAAATGTCTTCATGCATGAGAATTTAAAATGAGGTGAGCTAGATGCTATGTTAAGGGTCCTAATCTGTGGCATTATATAAAAAAGTCCTTGGTACAGTTGGTGGAGAATATTTATAGTTCCTTTTCTTTCTCTGGTAACTAATTACTTTGAAAATTTCGGCATTGTCTCCTTTGTTCTTTAGTCTCCACTACACCTGGGAAATTTTATTGTTGTTTAAACTTTCCTGAAGGATGCATGGTGAGTTGAGCCTGCTCACAGTCTCCGTCAGTCTTAGGCTGGTCCAAGCAAATGCCAAATTAAGAACACGGGACAGAATGCCATATCTGGGAAAACAAAACGATGTTTATACAAGTCATTTCTTTTGTCTAAGGGGTTAAGTGTGTAGGCCTCTGCTGAAAAAGGTTTAAAACAGATGTTAGACTCAATGTAATGTTCTTGGGCAAAAGGCAGAACAAATACTATGAATTTTACTTGGTCATAAAAATCTTTAAAATACAGTAGTTATTTTGAAGGTAAACACATCACAATAGGAAAAAAAGAGGGTAGCTCTGAAAGTCCAAGTTACAAATATACACTGAGGCTCCAGATAAAGCTCAGCACTTTCTCCTAGCTTGATTTGTGAGCAGGAGAAAGGTTCACACTGGGAGTGCAATTTATGCTTTTGTATTTAGGTGTTTAAGTGATTAAAAAGTTTTTTGGTTGATATATAGATAGGATTTGTCACCAAACAGTGCAGGATGTAACCCTTATTATGTGGCGGTTTAAAACAAGTCAAAGCTTTTCTGCTTTCTCTAAAGACGGATGGGCTGTCAGCTAAAAGACCTGTGACATCCATGTCCCCTAGAATACCAGGAACATATCCATTGTCCTCCAGCTCTGCTTGCCTGTCCTGGAATTCAAATAAGATTGGGGCAGAGGGTGGGAAGCGAGGAGGAAAAGGCAGGAAGGGTGATGGGGTGGAATTCCGACATCTCCAGGGCCCCTCAGGTTTGAGAGAATTTCCTGCTGCCTCTGCTCTGGCTTTCTGTAGGCCCTCGTGCTTTCTTGGAAGGGTGCTTTCATGTTTGGAGCCAGCCGCTGGTGAAGACCTCCCCTCCATGGGTCCTTAGTCAAGTGGGGGCAGTGCCCTCCTCAGCAAGTCTGTGCCTCGTGCCCCCAGGGCAGGGCTGGGGTGGCTGGGATGTCTGAGTGGTTGGTAGGGAGTGTGCCTCACAGGGGCGGCCTTAGGATGGGTCAGGCCTGGTTGAGGACTGGATCCTGGCTCTGTGGGGAGGCAGGACTGTAGGAACTTGAGTTGCTGCTGTGAGTGGATGTGGCCCATAGGCTTGGGCTGGAACCTCAGGCCTGAAGGAAAAAGAGAAATCTAGGTGGCCATCTAGTCAGTGCTCTGTTTTACCACCTTAGTACATAAACACTATGATTTAAAGAAAGAATATCACAGGATGACACTGGAGTGAAGAACCAAAGCACATCTTTAAACAGTGTCGTGGCTTGTCCTGTCGGCTCTCTGCTGTTCACTCCCTCCTGCCGTGCTGCAGGTGCACCTGGCACTGGAGGCGGGGGCTCTGGAGCAAGGCTAGGAGGCTGTCTTGAGCCCACTGGCAGGCATGGGGAGGCTTGGAATTCAAGTGTCTGATGCATGTTCTTAGGTAGGAGTAGGCTTGTGGCGAAGCCCTCTGGAGAAGTTCTCCTTAGTCAAGTTCTTCTGATTTGTAAAATAAGTATGTTCTCTGAAATTATCCAGATATCTGCCTCACAAAGTAACATTTTCCTCTCTTCTTCCTCCTTGTTCCTCCCTTCCCCTCCCCTTCTTTCCAAGCCTCTCTGTGGAGGGCAGGTGTTTGGGTGGTAATGAAGGTGGAGACAACACGTAAATGACATTTGTGAAAGGAGAAAGAAAAAGATCCAAATGCACAGAGAATGAAAGAGGAGTTGTCCATTCTTCTAGCTTAGCTGGATTTCTTGCTTTATCCCTTGTTACCTCTAGGCTTGACTGTTCTTGCCTATTTTTTAAAAATTAATTTTGCTGAATTAATCTTTTTTTTTATCTTAAAGGCCCATTGTGACACAGGCATTTTTGGTCAAGTTGGTCACTAACTCTGACCTGACCTCTAAATGGTTTGGTGCCTTGGTGTCTGGTGTGTGCCAGACTCAGATATAAGTCAGATGAATGAAAAGAAATCTAAAGGAACCCAATCAAGGTCTGATACTTTAGGAATAAAAAAATTGTGACATGAGCCATTTTATACAATGGATAAAATCTTTACATTCCAAACTTTGATCTGAAATTAATGTGTAAATATGCCTCTGTTGTAAAATTTTTCATTTTGAAATTTTTTTTTTTGGAGGATTTGCTCGAATATTTGGATATCTGGTAGGTGTCATCGGAAACAATGGAGTTCTGTTTTCTGAATCTGCAAAAAAGGCAAGTACTGTTAAAATGTTTCAAGATGTTCAGGTTTAATTTGACATTACTTTTGGAAAGTCAAATAATGAATTAAAATTTATTGCACGAAAACTTTATCATGTTGAACCAGATGCCTTCCTGGAGCACTGTGTGCCTATGTCAGTGTGGGAGAGTTTCTGTGGTAGTTTGCAGTGATGAACTAGCTGCAGCACTATTGAAAAGCCGGATACTCTTGCTTTAGGGAAATTCTTACAAGAGACCTGAGTTGCAGTTACTTGAGAGGACGTGCTCATGTTCTGAGCAGGTGGGGGAATCCTTGTCCCAAAAGGGCCTCCTCCTTTGGTGCGCGCTGAACCAGTGTGGTTCAGCCTTTTCGTTTAGGTCCTTTGGGATGTGAGCTGTTTGTTCCCTTCCATCCTGTCACCTGTTAACATTATCTTTACTTTCTGGAAACAGGAAGATAGTAGATCTTTGTTACTAGTGTTCTGGCTTTAAAAGAGGGAGTTCCTGAATATTCCGCTTCTCTCACTAGGTTAGCTCTTAAGGAGACCTTGAGTAAGTGTAGTTCATATACTTCTTTTAATTTTATTTTTAATTAATTGTATTGGCACATTTAAGGCATACAATGTAATGACATTCATCATTGGAAATTTGCACCTTTACATAATCCATTTTGATTCTCCCCCCCGATTCCACTACCCTCCCTTACACCCCTCTCTCCCTCTCTGTCTGCAAAGACTTTGTTTTCATTTTCTCATATTCCATTCCCTTCATATACTACTTTGATAAAATGTTGTCTTAAGAAACAAATGTTTAGGGCTGTGGATTTATCTCAGTAGTGGCGTGCCTGCCTTACAAATGCAAGGTCCTGAGTTTGATCTCAAGTACTGGGGAAAAAAAGAAAAAAAAAAAGTTTAGTCCTGTCTTTCCTTTTCAATGCATAAGGTAAAGGGGTCTCTTATTGATACAGGTAACGGGTGTTAAGCTTTTTTATACTCTAATTGAGGAAGAATTTGTCTTTTGTGAACTATTTTATCAATAAAACTAGTTTCTATATTCTGGTGTTTGTTATCAGTTCTGTCAGTACAATTATAAAGTGAAAACAAGGAAGTAAAAAATAAAAATCACCTATAATCATGTTACAAAGAATCTTCAGTAACAATTTGTTTTGAGTCTTTAGTTTTTTTCTTTAAAAAAAGAAATAGATATTGCCATATACAGTGGTATCTCGATTTACAAACTGAATTCTTTCCATGATTCTGGTCACAAACCAGATTGGGTGAGAATGGGATCAACTTCAATGGTTAGGTTCAATATTGACCTTATGGGGAAATTTGATTCCATTCTCATCCAATTTGGTTTGTGACCAGAATCATGGAAAGAATTAAATTCATGAACTGAGGTACCACTATATAGAGAACCTTTGCTTATTTTCATCTAATAGTATATAGTGAGGGTTTCTCAGAATATTAAATATTTCAGAAATAATTTTTTTTTGTTTTTTGAGGTAGGATCTCATTGTGTAGTTGAGGCTGACCTTGAACTTACTATGTAGCCCAGTCTGACCTTGAACTCCTGGCAGTCCTTCTGCCTCAGCTTCCCAGTGCTAGGCTTACAGGCATGTGCCACCACACCTGGCTCTGAAATAACTTTCAATGAATATGTAGTATACATATTTCAATAGAGGTAATGTCAGGCTGAGGCCAGACAAACTCCATGATTTTATCTGTAGGCTTAGTGAAAATAAACCCAGGAAGATTTATGTTTGGCCTGACTCTGACATTTCATTTGTTGATATAAACCCCAAAGCTCTATGGGATTTCCTTACTCCTGTAAACATAGTCACATTGAGGTTGAACGATTACTTTGCAATTTTGTAGCTGCCAAGGCATTTCTAGGTGAAGGCATCTGCAAACAGAATAATCCTAAAGCAAATGGTTTATAAGAATTTCTTGCTCACCTGATCTTTAGAGGATAGGGAAAGAACAGTTACATTTTTGGATGATAAATACTTTTCTAAACTCAAAACTAGAAGACCTCTAATACTCACCTACTGTAAAAATCATATTTCTTGGTGCGTGTGCTCATAGGTAAGACTTATTACTATAATCTTAACGCATGAAGGAATTTCAAGTGGTCATCAAAATGTAAATGTCATCCTTGATATCCTACAATAGTTTTACTCTACCCTTTCTTTTTAATTTTTTTTGTTTTCTTTTGTTTGTTTTGTTTTGAGACAGGGTCTCACTATGTAGTTGAGACTGACCTGGAACTCACTATGTAGCCCAGGCTGGTCTCGAACTCACAGCGATCCTCCTGCCTCAGCCTCCCGAGTGCTGGGATTACAGGCATGCACTACCACGCCCGGCTAAAGAATGAATATGGCAAAGTCGGGCCATTCTCATTGGCAGCATTTTTCTGTCATTTCACTTACTGTTTGGAACATTAGAAATTGACTTCATCTTTGACACAACAGCTGTTGACAGCCATGTGCTGTGGTTACACAAGGGTTTGGGCAAAATAAGTGTAGTGCAAACCACAATCACACATGTCCTGCTCACAGTGGGGCAGTGCTGTACTGTTACTGTTGGTAGATGGTCAGACTGATCAGACAAAGGTTATTCCTTCTTAGTTTGTGACCCAAATTATGGTTTTTGTAAGATGCATAATGATTGTGGACTAAATCCTCCTTTTTAAAGAAAGATTTGTATGTTATTTGTTTATAGGGTGCTCACTTCATCCAGCTGTGCTGCCAAAGAAATATTCCTCTGCTGTTCCTTCAGAATATTACTGGTGAGAAAGTAACATAATCAGCCTGGTGACATGCACCATTGAGCTAGTTGTGCTTTTTGACCCTAAGGAGTGTAATGATCCATGTGAGTTCTGTCACCTCTGTGGATGTCATGTCCCAAAGACATTTTCATGGTGGTGGAGTGATTTCTTAAGGTCTCTTCCAGCTCTAGAGCTCTCTTTCCTGAGTCCTGTGATTGTTTGCTCTGTCTCTCTGGGTTTTGCACTGTGTGTGACATAGAGAGGCGTTCTGTCAGATATGTCAGCAAGCAGAAGATTCTTTTTTCCCCCTGTCTTCTAAGTCATACGTAGTTACCTGATGTTCAGAGAATGAGAGGCCTACAGTCAGTAGTGGGATCTGTCGGGCCTTCCTGAGGTGGAGGAGTCAGCTCTTGCCAGTGAGCGGGGCTTTGGATAGTACTGGTGCAAGAACATCTTCCCCCTGTGTCTGCTCAGGTTTAAGGTACTTGACCAGATGAATTTTAAGAGTGGTTAAATCCAGGTGGCAGCCCATGTACAAGGGTGGATTAAAAGAACTCTGAAATTTAACTAATCCAGGGATCCAGTTTTTAATAATCACTCATCTCCAGTAAGTTAAACATGGAAAATACTTACTTTTTCATTTTGTTTTGTTTTGACTATGTTGGGGCCAGAGAGCTGAGCTTAGTATTGCAAGACTGCATTTGAGGGACCTGTGAGATATCCACTCGCCCCAGAATAAATGTTGGGCATAGAAGAGGTATCTTAGCTGGGGATGAAAATGTAGGCATCACCAGACTGTGCAGGTGGTATTTAAAGCTGTGGGAGTAGATAGGAACATCCCAGAGAGAAGAGAAGCCTTAAGGGTGGTCACTGTGAAATTGTGGGGTTTTTCCACAGCGGTAAGAATAAAGGAAGAAAAATAGTAACACGATTATGCAGTTGCTCTTATGGTGAGAAAGCCATTGACTGGCCTCTACCACTTTTTCTTTGAAGGTAGAACATCTGCAGAGAGAGGAGCGGGGTTGTGGGGTAGAGTAGGAACTGAATAAAACCAAGATTTGGGGTGTCTAGGGTGCAGATGTCCTGGGGAGTCTAGAAGCACTAGCTGCAGGAGTGCTGAGCTGCTCTGAGGGCTGGCTGAGAAGGATGCAGAGGGTGTGCAGCTCGAGCTGGGGCCGCACTGTCATCCCTGCGCCAGGGCAGTGAGCATAGGCCGCCGTCGGAATTGGCTGAACTGAACTGGATGGCAAGATGAAGGCGAGGTGCAGAACAAACCAAGGCAGTGAGCTCAGATGCCCAGATGAGAGGAATGCCTGCCCTGTAGATGGGGAGGGAGACAAGTGCAGTGTGTCTTGGTGCCGCTACAGTGACGAGGGCACCATCCAAGTCCGAATGGCACAGTGCAGCTGAAGAGTGGTTTCAGCAGAGCTGGAGGGAAGAAGCAGAAGGATTTGGTAATCACAGTGCTGGAAAAAACCTTTCAGTCTTGCTATTGAGTCACTAGCAGGGACTCTGTGTGTCTCCATGAAACATTAATCCTCACTTCATCAAAGTTTTAAAGCAGTGCCTTGGAAGAACTGGTATTTTTAAACCAGGTCAGTAGATACTGAAGCCTTCACAGTTGGGCTTGCCATAGTACTTTTTCCTTAACTGTCCCTGTCACAAGCTCTCATCATCAAGCCATTGCTTTGAGGTGATTGCTTGAAGATAGGCTGCTTCCTTTTGTAGTCTGAAGTTCTTGTCCGCCTCGGTGAACTGTTTTAAGGAAATTTAAAAAGTGTTGAAAGAAGGGGCCGGGGATTTAGCTCACTGGTGCCCCTGCCGGCCTCGCAAGCACAAGGTCGCGAGTTTGATCCCCAGTACCCAAAACAAACACTCAAACAAAAAAGGTGTTGAGAGAAAAATTTACTTTCTAAAGCAAAGTTTTTGGGTATATTTCACATGTGAATTCTTTTTTGTGCAAGAGGCTTGTGATAATGTGAAAGACAAGATGTTGTTTGAGTACTTTGGTGGAGCTGAATTCTATTCATTAATCTTACCACCTCGAAGTTCCATTTTTGTTCTCTGTCCTAGGATTCATGGTTGGTAAAGACTATGAGGCTGAAGGAATTGCCAAAGATGGTGCCAAGATGGTGGCTGCTGTAGCTTGTGCCAAAGTACCTAAGATAACCGTCATCATTGGGGGGTCCTATGGGGCTGGAAACTATGGGATGTGTGGCAGAGCTTACAGGTGGGTGGTTCTCATGATTTTCTCTGAAAGAAAAACATGCTTCAAGTATAATTACAAAGTGGTCAGTTGTGTCAGGACTGAGGTATAGAATGGCATTCACAAATCTTGATAATTTATATCTTTTGGGGGTAAGATTAAATCTAATGCTAATGATACTATTTGGAAAAATCTACAGTGGGACTCAGGAAATACCAGAAATTGCCAATAATGAAATTAGTACCCAGTACAATGTATGTGATACAACTAAAATATTGTTTTGAGAAAGGTCTATACCCTTAAGGGTATATACTGTGCTGGAAAGGAAATAAGCCTGAAAATCATTGAGCTAAACATCTAGTTCAGGAAAAACAGCAGATTAAACCCAAGAACAATAGAAAGGACATGTTAAATAGAAAACATAAGATAGAAGAATAAGGAAATTCCAACATTGTTTTAAAAGATTACTATACTTGATAACCTCTTTGTGGTACAAATCATAAAAAAGAAGGTGCATATGAGCCAGTATCAGGAGAGAAAACAAGACAAGGCTACAGATAACAGGATATTATGAACACTTTTAGACCCAGAATGAGCTACCTGCAGAGCTTGGAAATCATGTTTCATGTACAGGCAATAGAAATTGGTCTGTAGTGAGTTCTAGGCACCTTTATTTTTCCCACTACTGAAAAATGAACCCAAGGCATTTGCACTGGAGCTATATCTGCAGCCCATTTATTATTTTTCATTTTGAGACAGGGTCTTGCTAAATTGCCCGGGTTGGGCTCAAACTTGCGATCCTCCTGCCTCAGCTTCCCAAGTGCTGCGGTCACAGATGGGCATCATCACACCTGGCTTGGGCATGGGTTTAAAGAAAGATTCTTCAGATGATATAATGTACAATAGGAAATAAAAACCACTAATTTAAAAGAAAGACACGGCTTCTGAAAATCTCTGTACAGTGTATTGCATGAATGTGATTGTTCTTTTTTCCTCCCAGCCCAAGATTTCTCTACATGTGGCCAAATGCTCGCATCTCAGTGATGGGAGGAGAGCAGGCAGCCAACGTGTTAGCCACCATAGCCAAGGACCAAAGAGCACGGGAGGGGAAACAGGTAAGGGACATTTCTGCTCCTCTGGGGTTTGGCTTTCACCAAGGAACACTGAGAGTCCTGGAGCAGAGCACCCAGAATCCTTCTGTGTCCACAGAGGGCTCACAGGAGTGGCAAACCTATGCTTCAGCTTGCTTGTTATATGAAAAGCCAAAAAGTTCGCCATTCCTGGTAGGAGATGCTGACCTGGGACTTATGCATTTGCGTCTAGTCTCTCTGTTTTCTTGTTAATTTACTTACGTAGTTTTTTGTGATGCTGGGAACTGAGTCCAGGGCTTCCTTCATCCATGCTAGGCAAGGGCTCTGCCACGAGCTAGAAGGAAGACAGTCTTTCTGTCTGTCTTTTTCAAAGCCATTTCATTGAGGTGTTTTTATGGTTGTTTACACATTTTTCAGAAATTGTGAGTGCCTAAGGCATGAATATTTGTTTCTTAGTCATTTCCAATTAGTGCAACTAAATAAATTCAGTTTATTTCCTTGATCTTCTGACTAAAAGCAGCAGCAGAATTCTGTTTTCTCCATTTTACTTTAAACTGTGGTGAAGTCTGCCTTGAGTGGGAGGGCTCAGCCACCTGCCGAGAACTGAGTAGCATCACTGTCTGGGGAAAGCATGAAGAAACACAGGAAGGGCAGTGGATGCTACAGGAAAGGCAGATCAGCAAGTGGCCACTTTTTTTGCCTGTAGGAGATGCTCCTGAAATTTTGCCTTAATTTTCTTTTAAATTTTTTACTAGTTGTAACTTTGTAACTGCTTTGTGTAAGCCCCAAGCCTTAAATGATAGTCATGTGTTTCTGAAGTTGCTGCTATAGGAAAGCATAAGGTGGGAGAGGCACAGCCTTTTCAGGCAGCGTCCTTCTGGTCATCTGGTCTACCAGTTGGCTTCGCGAGTTGAGTTTACATCAAGCACTACCTGAGCCTCACATCCTTGATTGTCTTTGCCAAGCAGCAGGAGCTCTGCGGACTTAAATTAAGCTTTTATATTCGCTTTAGCACCACCTACTATCAAAGCTTTTGTGTGTGGGGGTGTGTTGGGATTGGGAGGGTTGGTAGTAGCATTGGGGGAGTTAGGGTATGAAATTCTACCTGATAGTTTGAAGACATGTCTTAAAACTGTAGATTAAAAATAAATAGTTGTTCTTTGATTGATATATATTCAAATTTTTTTTATTTATGAAGGGAAACTACAATATATTACAGGTGCTCCATACAAATTCTTGATCTGTAAAATGATTTTAAAATGCTAAACTGTTTACATAAAATAAGATAGAATTTATTTGAAATGAGCCGTAACTGGTTGTGAAATGTTTTTGTAAGTTGAAAATAGTTTTCCGGATTTCAAAATAAGTTCTGAAGATTTTTATGTTTGAATTATCATTCGATCCTGATAATACTTATAGGAAAGCCATTAACTTTTTAAAAATTCTTTGCTTGTTTTGTTTTGAGGCAGGATATCACTATGTAGTTCAGCTTGGTCTTGAACTCAGTGTATAGTTCAGGCTGGCCTTGAATTTGTGGCAGTCCTCCTGGTTCAGCCTTCTGAATGCTGGGATTATAGGCATGCACCACCATGCTGGGCTTAACTCTTTTTTTAAAAAACTAATAACATTTTTTTTGGTACTGGGGATTGAACTTGGGACCTTGCACTTGTTAGGCAGGTGGTGAAACCACTGAGCTAAATCCCTAGCCCTTACATTTTTTTAAGCAAAACATTTATTGGTACATTTTATAGTTCTTGTTTATTTTTCTTTTTTTTGGTACTGGGGACTTTGCACTTGCCAGGCAGGCACAGTGCCAGTGAGCCACATCCGGCTCTTGGTATGTTTTAGATATTCATAATGATAACATTCATCATAGGGAATTTGTACTTGTGCATGATGTATCTTGCTTCTTTTTTCCCATTCCCCCCCCTTTGACTCTCCTCATTTACAAAAGTTTTGTTTCCAATTTTTCCTTCGTGGCCACAGGATGTTGCTTCTGATAGGGGAGATACAATGGTGCACTACTTTGATATTTATGTCTTTGGTGAGATCAAGTATGTTGAAGCATCTCTTATATGCTGTATATCACTGAGGCAGTTTTTAACATTATTATCCATGAAATTTGTTCTCTTTTTTGAGGTTTTCTGAGCAGTCTCCATTGTTCCAGTGAAACTGACCTAGTCATGGCCCCTTTTCTTTCAGTTCTCCAGTGCTGAAGAGGCAGCTTTGAAAGAACCCATCATTAAGAGGTTCGAAGAGGAAGGAAACCCTTACTATTCCAGTGCAAGGTATGAGTCGGGGACCCCTCACTCCCCGAAGGCTGCCTCTTGGTTGTCGGGACTGAGTACGCGGGATGGTTGGCTTATGTAGGGATCAGAGATAATATCTGGGTACCCTTGGTTTTGTATCTTTAAACTGCTGCCCCTCCTCCCCAGCTTTGCATTAGTTTGATTCTGCACCCCTCATCCTGCCATCAGTTGTGGTTTCCAGGGACAGGAGGGGCCCTGTAGCCAGAGGTGGACCATGCTAGGAGTACAGTCTTGGCTGTGTCATCTTCGGGAAGTGAATTCTAATTTGTACTTAAAAACGCAGATGCTTCTCATTACTTTGTTTTTACTCCGTGTTAAGTGTGAGATTTGTTGAACAAGAACTGGTGCTTGTTAACAAGTGTGCTTTGTGCACTCAGGAGGTGATTAGTCACAGCCAGGGCCCACGTGTCAGTGCCAAGTAATTAGCTCACACCATCGCAGCTGTTGGTGTTTGTTTTTGATGCCACTTAATGAGGTAATAAATTTTCCCTGCCTGCCCCAGCTGAGACTTGCTGTCATGTGCTTTCAGCTTCAATCTGAAGACTAATCTAAACTTCATGTCTCTTTCATCTTTGGGCAGATGGGAAAAAAATGGCAGTTCATGTCTTAAAATTAGGTTATGCTGCGTTTATTACCATTCACTGGTGCAGGCAAATTGTAGAGAAGGGAGAAAAGAAAATCAAAAGTGAGAATCCATTTAAATCATTTGAACACATCATTTGTGGCCAGCACTACTCTTAGCACTGAGGTATGATGACTAAACGTACTTGTTTCCCAGATCATAATGAGTTTGAGTTCAAATAATAACACTGGAGATTTTTTACATGTCTCTCTGTCCCCTCTCTAATGCGTATTTTTTTTTTTACAAACATCTACAGATGTATTTTGTGTTGGCTCATTGGTTCATTTAATTAAAAATAGTATATTTGATAGTCTTTGATTTTCATTTTGCCATCATACAAACAGACTTCTGTTTTAAGCTGGTAGGGGCAAGGAAGCAATAGAAAGCTGTGTGAGAATTTAAGGTAAAACACACATTGTAAGCTCACTGACAGTTTTTCTCACGTAGGATTTTTACTGAATTGCACAAAGCCTGTTGAAATATTAAACTGAAAAATAGACGACCTTATGTGAGCCATTAGCTTGCTTTTCAGCACAGCTACAATAAGTGATGTGTTAAGAGCAAGGTTGCATCCTTTATTTTCATACAAATACTGTTATTATTTTTAACGGGTGGCGTGTAAGGCAGGAGAGCAAATGACCCATATAGACTTAGCTTCTGAAATAAATATTCAAAGACGGAAAGGTTTCTCTACTAATCTGTAGGTGCTGAACCTTTCTGTTGAAATGGTGCGGGGAGACAGCATTTTTTTCTCAAAGATGGAGGGATTTTCAGGCTGGCTCAGGGTACCATCCTTAGTTTAGTAAGTCTTAGATTAACAATTTTCCCTGGCTTGCCTGTGCTTCGCTAAGCTGGGTCATCACCTGCTACCGGAACTGCCAGTGTTTTTGCACTGTGGTGCTGGGGATGGATCCCAGGCCCTCACACATGCTAGGCAAGTGCTGTACCTCCAAGCCCCCGCCCCAGCCCCAATCCTCCAGTGTTTTTTTAATCCTTACATGCTTCATATGTAACTTGTCAGTTTGCTTCTGCTAACTGTTTTTACAGTCCAACTTTATTGGGCATTTGATTAGAGCCTTTTACCTGGAGCAGTCTTTAATGAACGTCATTAACGAGCCCTTCCATCATCCCACTTGGAGGATTACACTGCTGCACACCTCAGAAAGGGAAGCGGTCAGTTCACCTGTGTACAAATTACAGTGATACTTTAGGATCCCTATGATGAATGTTTTAGAAGCAAAGATTTGATTCCTGTCTGTCCATGGAAGAATGGTTTAGTAATTGATGTTCAGATACTGAAGGCAGTTTGTTTAAAGAAAGCAAAGCTTTAAATGTATAACTTTAAAATTGTAACCTTTAAAAAGTAATATTTCTCATTCATTTTTCTTTATAAATCTGAAGTTGTCAATGAAAAGCAAACTAAAATTTCTACTTAAATTTTGGCTGAGTCTGGTGTGGTGGTGCATACCTAATCTCACCTATTTGGGAGGCTGAGGCAGGAGGCTTGCTAGTTGAAGGACAGTTTAGTTAGACCATGTCTCAAAGTACAAAAACAAAAGGGCTGGGAATGTAGCAAAAAATAACTGTATTTGGAAGTATTTTATTAGTAAAACGTATTGAATCACACTGAGTAACTTTTATAGTTTGTTAAGAATTTTGGGGAATTTGGGGGAGTAAAGACATTGGCTTGAGATTATTACCTGGGCTTATGGAGCCTTTTTTGTATTAATGACAGAAATGTAATAGATTGATTTGTACATTTGTGTGGACAAAAAAAGGACCAGACATTTTTTTGTAGAATATGTAAAAATATATTTAAACCAGGGACTATTTTCAGATTTTAGCCTTAAACTCAGTGTGACATTCTGTGGTTGCTGGGGAAAAGTCATGTTATCCCTCCACCGCTTTTCTTCTTTTGCCTTAATAAGTTCTATTGGAAGTAATTTTTGACCAGTCTTCAAAGACCTTACACAAACTTTTTCTTAATATGTGCAGAAAATATTACATGGGATAGATGTGCTAGAAATGATTTAACTACCACATTATTAGCTAACATTATTTCTCATACTTTGCTATCATGTAGTTTATCATAAATAATGATAATGCAAATAGGATTATTTTTACATGCTTGAGAGTGTTATTTGTATGTATTTATTTATTTGGGTCTTTTGAGACAGGGTCTCACTATGTAGCCTAGGCTGTCCCTGAGAGAGTAGTATTTTTAGTATAAATTCATGGAATGGCCTGAGTTAAAATGTATATATTAACAATTTCATAGCTATTGTCAGATCACCTCCCACAGCAGTTATACATAGCACCATTGTGTAAAAATGCCTCTTTCAAGCAGGGCATGGTGGCACACACCTGTAATCCCAGCACTTAGGAGGCTGAGGCAGGAGGCTGGGCATGAGTTCTAGGCCAGCCTGGGCTACATAGTGAATTCAAGGCCTGACTGAACTGCATAGTGAGCCCTTGTTTCAAAAAAACCCAAAAACTAAAAACAAAAATGCTTCTTTGAGTTCCACTCATGAAAACAGTGCACCACATTTTCTGATCTTTGAACATCTAGCAGGTGAAAAATGGTACCTTAATTATAGCTTAATTTTCCTTCCCACTCTTGAAGATGTTTTTGTTGTGAGACTCTGGGACACAGGTGCTCACTGGTGATCCATATCTTACCTGAAGAAGGCTCTCCTTGGTGTTTCTTGGTCTGGCTTGTCTTGGTGGTGGTTTGGGGTTAAGTGCATGATAACCCATTTTGGTTTTTTGGCAGGCTGTGGGATGATGGCATCATTGATCCGGCGGACACCAGACTGGTCCTGGGTCTCAGTATTAGTGCAGCACTCAATGCACCGATCCAGAAGACTAACTTTGGCATCTTGAGGATGTAACTGGAATCGGACATGTACCAAAAACTAACACATGTGATAGCCTTAAAGTTTTAGGGTTTGTTTTTTTTTAACGTGTGGCTGTTACAATACTTTTTTTTGCTAAACACAGTGCATTGTACTTTTCAACCTTAAAAAAGTCATAGAGTGTGTTTATTTGATAAGCATCAGTTCCTTTTAAATTTTCTTAGAGAAATTTCTTTATGGCTCAGTTTTACTAACTATGAAATAAAGAAAATTTTTACCATTATTGTTTTTATCCCATAAGAAGTATGAAGAATCCTATAATCTGTAAATTCCTGCTATTATTGAGATCATTAATATAAAGTTGTATTTCTACTGAAATGTTCGTTTTGCTTCATGATATTTTGACACTTATTTTTGAGAATCATCTATTACTTTTCCCTTGAGCCACTTTCCGCTTCCCATGGCATTGAAACAGCTTGGCCTCTCTTTTCTACCCATTCTCTCCTCCCTCCAGCCCCCTCTGGCGTCCACGGCCAGCAGTCGTCCCCAGGGTCGCCATCAGTGTCTGATGTCCCTGCTGTGAAAGCCAGTCGGGCCATCCCTGACCTTCGCAGAGGGAGGTCAAGGGCATTCTGATCATCGGCACTGTGTCTTGATTTTCACTGGTAAACATGAGCACATTTGAAAAGATACAAATAACACACAAACACCTGTTTTTTTAAAAATTCCCATGTAGAGGTACAAGATCCCAACAATGAATGTAACTGTACTGTATCCCTAAAATGTACCAATAAACTCAATAAAATTAATAAATAAAAAAAAATTAAAAAAAATTGTGGTAAGATCCATATAATATAAAATCTCCACAATGTATTTTTATCTTTTCCCTTTTTGTTGGTATATGTTTGCAATGCATAATGAATGTGTTCACCATGCATTTATATCTCACATCTTGGTCATTTCTGCTTTCCCCTTTCCTCCCCTCCCCTTTGTCTCCTCCCATCACTAGACCCCTTCTCATCTCCTCACGGTCCTTCAGTTCCCTATCTGTCGTTTATTTTGCTGTTTACATTTATTTATACTTTGGGTTTCTTGTGGAAGAGAAAGCATGCAATATTTACACTTCTGTGTCTGATTTATTTCACTTAGCATTATGGTCTCAAGATGCACCCATTTGCCTACAGATGACTGAAATTTATTTTTCTTATCCCTGAAGAGTACTCCATTTGACCATTTTTTAATTAAAAAAATTTTTTTTGGTACCTGAGATCGAACTCGGGTCCTTGCGCGTGTAAGGCAGCCAGCAGAACCACTGAGTTAAATCCCCAACCCCATTTGACTATTTTTAAGCTCAGTATCATTAAATACCTTCATATTGTGCAACTGTCACCACCATCCATCTCTAGAATTTTAGCCTGCGTCTCCAATGCCTGTCACTTGTAGATGTGTAGTGTTTGTTGAGTGAATAAATGAATGAAAAAAATTGTAAATTGTAATTGCTGTCCTTATGCCACAAAGTTTTAAAGTTAGGTGATTGATTATATGACTTCATGTGACATCAGATGTTTTGCTCATAAAATTAGTGTTTCAAACATTTCTGTGATATTCAGTTTAGGATGTATTTCTGTATCAGTTACTTCATTTTTTGTGGGAGAGGGACAGACAAGAAGATCATAATTCTGAGGTAGCTGGTATTATTAGAAGGAACATGTTCATTTTTAAATTTTTTACAAAGGCACAGGTCCACTTTTATGTATCTGCTTTTCACTAGTTTAAATCCTTGAGTGGGTCTACATCAAAAAGGTTCTGTGTCCAGGCCTTTGTAGGAAGATGGCTTTGGACTTTCCCATGACCCGTCCTGTTGATGCTCCTGCTGGCCTGTGTCACCTCTCCCCAGATGACGCTGGGTTTGTCCAGTTTTCTGTCAGGAGTCATGGTGTCGTTCTTTGCTTTGTACTCAGAAGCACATCGCTTGACCAAATAGACTCGAGTCTCATCTTAGGCATAGATGCCTTGCGCTTTAAGGGCTGCATGTACCCTTGCGTTTTGAGAGCCCAGCTCCAGACCAGCATCAATAATAGCCTTGTACCGCAGCCTACCATACTTTTCTGCCTATGTTGGAGTCTTCCTCCCAAGGGACCTTCACAGGCTCCTAGAAGGAAAAATCACAGTATTTTAAAATCATATTTTCAATTAATATTTGCATCAGTGTCAGAAAACAAAAATTTTATCTTTTTCTTTTGGTAAAGGGATCAAACTTGGGCCCTTAAGCTTGCAAGGCAGGTGGCGAAACTACTGAGCTAAATCCCTGGCCCCAAAATTATTTTCTTTATCGAGATGAAGTGATACTCCTTTGGTTGGAACCCTTAGCAACTCAAAGTCCTGGATGTTTTAGGAATATTTTTGCCTTTTAAGCGTTATAGCCACCACTAAAACCACTTTTGAACTAGACTTTAAAGAAAATAATTTATCCAATAAGAAACATAATTTAAAAATTTAAAGTAGGACTTTTGTTTTTTGTATTTTAACTATTCGATAGCTCCATAATTCCATAGATTTTTGAGAAATAGCCTCTAAATTTGCCTCACAGTCCCTAAAGACAAGTTTTCTTCAGTTTTCAAGAGATGTTTCTAAATTAGAATTCATTTAAATAGGATGAACTAGATAATCATAGCTTAGTGACATTTATAACATTTCTCTAAAAAGTTACAAATGAAGTAATACCTAATGAGGATATGGATTTGTATTGTTTTGACAAAAGCCTTTCCACAAAGCACAATCAGTTTATTTTTACTTAATGTGCCTCACATTCCCTTGGATGTGGAATCATGTTAGAGCCAAATGAAATTTCTGGGCATCTTGTACCTTTCTAGGCAAACATAGCTTCCAGATGATGGGTCCCATTATGAGGTAGCTCTGTCATTTATCTGTGCTGGACACTGGAGTGACAGGAACTCTGCAGTAGTCTCACTGGGAAGCAGATGTGAACTGGGCCTGTCCTCAGCAGACTGGAGTGTGTGGTCGCTCTCTGGAATTTAGGCTTACAGTGGACCAAGTATTTTGCTGCCCATCAGTTTTTGATAAGTTCTGGTAAAGCCAGTATTCCAGATTCCTGCAACAAAATCCAAACCAAAAAAAGCATAGTCTTACCACCCAGAAATAACTACCACTCATAAGGCTTTCCTGGGTTCTTTTTCTAAGAATTTCCTTTGCAGAAATGGTATAGTTCATCTTACTCTGGCGTCTGCATCTTCACTTAGTATATTGTGAATGTATTGACATTTTAATGACATTTACTATTCTGTTATAATTTTGATGTTGCATGATATATGGATGCCATTTCATTTAACTTGTGTCCCTATTATTGGACATTTGGATTATTTCTGGTTTCCCATTCAGTATTACAGAAATCCTGCAATGAACATTATTCTAATCTATCTATCTATCTGTCTATCTATCTATCTATCTATCTAGATAGATAGATGTATGTGATTATTAGGATAAATTTCTAGAAGTGGTATAGTTGGATCAAAGTGCACAGACTAGTAAGACATGTTGCTAAGTGTATTTTTGTGGTCCAAATATCGCTGGATATGATGACCCTGACGCTTTCAGATACTGAAATACTAACCTTGCAGAATAAAATTGTTTTATATAAACGAGTGTTTCCAAATGGTTGAAAGCTGTGTGAGTGACCTACAGGTTAAGACTCAGCATAAATGCATGGGATGAAGTTATGGTCGTGGAAAGAGCTGTGGCTGGGGTAAGATCAGTTCAGCCTTGGTTTTTCTTCCAAAAAGTTGTGGGAATCTCAGAAAGGTGGGAAGGGATGCAAATCCACCCGCTTGGCCCAGAGGTTGTCTTTTCTCCGGCACCCCAGGTTCCCTTTTCCTCTCTCATACGGTTTGGACCTAGAATAGTCCCCAAAGACTCACAGGTGTGGATGGTGATCGGACCATGGGGGACACCATTAATCCACTGACGGGTTCATAGCTGAGTGCTGTAGGGACCCTGGTTGCAGGAGGCAGGTTGCCGGGGCTGTGACCTGGCAGGGTGTGTTGTCCCAACTCTGTACTCCCTGTCTGTGATTCTCTTCCTGCTGCCATGGCATGAGCAGCTTTCCTCTGTTCCCCTTCTGCCTTGGAGCCATGGACTGCATCCTGGAATACTGTGAGCCAAAACAAGGTTTATCTGTTTTAAAATGACTCTGAAAGGAACCACTGGGACACCGAAATTAAGTATGGAGCAATGATTTGCTGTTGTGCCCAACTAAAATTTCTGAGCTCGGTGGATATGATCAAAATATGTTAGAAGAGCAAACTGAGGGCACTTGTCCTCAAGTATATGGAGGGTTCAAAAGATGAGGGCTGACACTTTGTACTATATCACCAATGAGGGTGGATTGAGGGCTTAAGTTTTCATGAGGGACATTATGTCTCTAGGCAAGGTTTTAGGTTACTTTTAGTTGGAAGTCTAGCTTTAGATATCTGAAAAATCTTTAGATATCTGAAAAATCTTCCATTGGACAAAATTTAAAAGTGACCAAGAGACAGGAAGTAGAACTAAGTGACTTCCTGGTAGACTTAAGTGACTTTGGGTAGCCTTAAAGCCACAGTGAACTCTTACATGAATGGTAAACAAATTGCTCACAATCCCTTTTGAAATGTTTACATTTAGCATTTATTGTATGAACTTTGCAAATACTTGGGAGACTTTTGTTTTTATTTTACAACTACTGGTATTTTAATTTTTTTCTTTTTTCTTTTTATTGAGTTTATTAGTACAATCTAGGTATACAATACAGTTACATTCATCATTGGGATCCTGTACCTTTACATAATAGGTCTGGTTCTCATTTTTTTCCCCTTGTCCCTGCCCACCCTTCACCCCTTCCTCCCCTCCCCATTTACAAATACTTTATTTCTGTTTTTTCAGTTTCTCATATTTTTTTCTTCTCCCTTATTACCTTTCCCCCACCCTTCCCACTTTCCCTACACCTTTAGCCCTTTATTTCCTATTTCACATTATTAATTATCTCATTAGGATCCTGTGTACTATAATAGTTTTTCACACCAAAGAAACTATTCACTATTTCAGTTAAAGAAATCTCTGTATGAACATTAAAAATAGGGAATCCTAAAATAAAACTAAAAAGGAAAGTAAAAGAGAAAAGGCAATGATGTAAGATTAAAATAATCCTTAATTCTGGAGATGAAAATGGTCCCTGAATATATTTAAATTGCTTCTTGCTCTTGTAGTCTTATCTTATTCTTTTTTCATTATTTAGAGAATACTTTATTAGTTTCTGTAATCAAACCCATATAGATATGACCTTACATATTTAGTACAGTGCGTTACCCCTGTACAAATGGAAAAAAAAATTAACATTTCTAGACCAGTGTGGCTGTCCATTTCTGTACAATGCCAACTCAACATAGTAAATTGGGATAACTTTTTCCTAAGTTGACAGCACCGTTAGTTTCCCAAAATTCAATTTATATATATATGTATATATCTATATTTATATTTATATAAAAAGACATAATAGCAGTATGTTATCCATTGATAGCAGCAATAGCTTTTCCAGGTTCTGCAGTCATCTGAACAGAATTATAGACAATCAGCACATTCCATTAAAAACAAAAAAAAGAATAATATCCAGAAAACGGCAAAGTTCTGTTGC